GCTCACTGCATGTTGTACAGCAGCTTTGGAAAGTTAAAGAGTTAATCTAACTACCATGACAGATCCTTCTTTTAGATGTGGTCATGGTACACGCAGTCTGTATGTGTAGCATTTCCACTTAAAACTTTGACACAAATTTAGCAATTTCTTTATGTAGGTAGAGTGTAGTCACACACGACCTAGCCAGCCAGCAGCTCTGTTCCAGACTGACCAATGTCAGATCTGTGCATACTGCAAATCTAATGCTTCTCTGTCAGATTCTGGCAATTGCAAAGCTTACTGTACATGTCCCCAAAGTCTAAACAATGTTATCCTATAGGAATCATTTCATTGGACCTCACACAGAGTAAGGATGAGGCAATGTGATGTCAAAGTAGGCAGATAGTGGTTCTCGGAGAACTTGTAGAAGATTATTATTTTTTTTTTATAACCAAGAGGAAAGGGGCAGTAAGTGACACTAATATATTATGCTATATACAGCAAAATGAAATTGTTTAGGAGTAAGGTTTTGATTCTATTTATTGACAGCTACTGTATGTGATACATTGTTGTTCTCTCTTACATAAAAATGAAAGGATGTTAATTATTAAACGGAAACAATATTTCCTGCTAATTAGCATTTACATCACTTCTGTGAAATTCATGAAACTACTTAAATTAATTTCTCAGAGGCTGTAGAGGCTCAGAATTAGACACATATGGGTTCAAATGGTAATGATATGCTGAAAGGTTAAATGAGTCAGTGGAGCACATGAATAATTTTTTTAGGAAAGAATTGTTAGGCTGAATTATATATTATATATCATATATGCACATGCATACATTATAAATGTGCTGCTGGGGGTTAATTAATTCAACATACAAGATTCACGTATTCATTAAACAGAAACTTAAAAGCTCACAAAATGTAATAGTTTTATTAAAAATGCCTAACTTAGACAAAAATAATGGGTAATTAATTACACTATAACCTTTATGTGAGAGTACAAGATTGGATACGGAGTATCAAATTACGGCCTAGAATTACTACCCCACGCCTGTTTTTACTTAAAGGTTTTATGAACTTTGGCTTGTTTGTTTTGCACTTGATTATAATCCAAAACAAGGAAAAATACAAACCAGTATTTCTCAGTAATGCCCAATCATTAAATTAAAAGCAGGATTAACATAGTTGGTTAGAGTAGAGTAGAGATGCACAGCTCCATCCCCTATTTAAAAAAATAAAATAAAATTAAGTAAATAAATATAATATACCGTTAAAACTCATTGCGATCCTGTGCTCCCTACAGAGTGATTTTCCAAAGCTGGTGTCTCCCCCCTTCCCCAGAAGGAGATGAAGCTCAGGGAGGGCGGACTGATGGGATGACATAGGTGGCACACAGAGGGAGGTATGCCACCGCTGGCTGCCTGGCACAAATATGCGTAAATGAAATTTGCATAAGATTTGCAATAGCCACCATAACTCTTATTCCGGGTTGGCTATTGATGTCCCAATGATGTAGCCTAAGTGAAGTTACACATATGGCAGCAGAAGGGTTAAATCTGTATGTGCAGAGTTTCTTAGCAAAAAACATACGGACTCCAGGTACCATCACCACTTCAACTAAGCAAAGTTGTAATGATGTATAGAGTAACCCTTTGACTTTTTTTTAATCTTTGTTAATAATCTCAAGATCAATATGTCAACATTTCAAGATTTATAACAAAGTAAATGTTGATTTTGCAGACTTTTTCAATTACATCACCTTAGTGGCATTAACCGTGGTTAAAATTTACATTAATATTGGTGTTTTGTTTTCATTTTCAAAGTGGACATCTTGAGTATAATGGACATTTGTATTTGATGTGTTATCTCTCTCTCTCTCTCTCTCTCTCTCTCTCTCTCTCTATTTATTTGCAGGCTGGCCAGATCTTGGGTCATAAACAGTTCTTTCTTCCAACAGGAGGAAAGCTTTGAGACATTGAACAAAAATAAAACCCTACTCCACACTGGAGACTAACTAACATAGAGTACCCATTCTATGCTACTGGGCAGCTAAGCTGACTCCAGTAGTTTAACAAATATCAAAATAAAAAGCTTGCAAAATACCTTACCTTTCCTTTCCACACAGTCTCTTTGACTCACAGTTTTTCTGTCTCCGCCCCAGCTCTTCGCAGGAGAGACTGATAGAGACTGATTCCCTTCTGCATAGGGTTTATGTATCTCACTAATTAGTGTACTATAGCAACCTGCTTTTAAATTCCCTCTAGTCAGGGAACACTGAAAGTGCCATTTTGGGGCCAATGTAGCAGTGTTCCCTCACACTGCCACAATATCTAGTTGCATTGCCAGTTTTATTGTTTGTTGTATGTTATATGTTTAAAGGATCACAATAGGGTCAGGAACACAAACATGTATTCCTGACCCTATAGTGTTAACACCACCATCTAGCCTCCCTGGGCCCCTCATGCCTCCATAAATATAGTAAAAATCTTATTGTATCTAAGCTTGAAGCTGTAACTCTGCATGCTGTTAGGCTCAGAAAAACAAACAGTCTGCTGACATCATCAGAAGTGGTAGATTGATCCAATCACAATGCTTCCCCATAAGATTGGCTGAGACTGACAAAGAGGCAGATCAGGTGCAGAGCCAGCATGATTCAAACACAGCCCTGGTCAATCTGCATCTCCTCATAGAGATGAATTGAATGAATGAATGAAAGTTCAGTGTCTGCATGCAGAGGGAGGAGACACTGAATGTTTGGATGCATTTTAGGCAGCCATGACCCAGGAAGGATCTCTAACAGCCATCTGAGGAGTGGTCAGTGAAGTTATCACTAGGCTGTAATGTAAACACTGCATTTTCTCTGAAAAGACAGTGTTTACAGCAAAAAGCCTGAAGGCAATGATTCTACTCATCAGCACAAATTCAATAAGCTGTAGTTGTTCTGGTGACTATAGTGTCCCTTTAAGTTATTTAATGTAGCATTGCATATTTATATGTTATTTGCTTTCAGTAATCAAACAATATGCATTTGTACCAGTTTTTGCTCAGGTGCATTGTTAAATGAACACTCCAGATGCCTAGAGCACTTTAGCTTGCTCAAGTACTTTATGTATGAAGAGTGTGTCCTTTACAAAAAAGTTTGGATTTCAGTAGAAATTGGCACTTTTTTAAAATTAACCCTGTTATCCCCCTCCCTGGCTGTCAATCAAACAACCAGTTTTACTACTTCCTGGATGTTTAGCTCAGTTGAGCTAAACTCAAGAGACAGCATAAATTGCCCAGAGCACTTGCCTTGCAAAGAATTCTCATTGGGCTGCACTGGGAAGTCTGTAATTGGACAGTCTCATAAAATCTGCGCAGGGTCAGAAGGAGAGGGCTTTCATAGGCTTCAGACTATAGATTTGTATCAATGCAGATTTGGATGCAGAATTAAATGCATGCATATTTTCATTAAGGATAAATCTAAAAAAATAGTGATTTTTTTTATTGACAATTTTTCAGATGCTCAGTACACAAACAGTAAAACTGTACAGGATAATAAGGCATCATTGAGAAAATCAAGTACAATGTAGGTTGTTGACATACTTAGATGGCATGCAATAGTATTGCAGTACATTGTTACATCACCCGGCACAATATGGTGGACGCGTCTTGGCAAATCAGTACAATTGCATCTGTTTTCCAAGTAAAGCCAAGGTAGTAACTGGGAATAACGGAACAGGAGGATAGGAGAGGGCAAGGTGTATAGGGGGAGTCCCTAAGTAGATATAGAAAGCAAAACAGATAGTGAAGTGAGAAGAGACCCTGCACTAGAGTTGAGTAGCTTGGGGGGTATTAGGGCATAACCCAAAAGTAACAATACAGAAAAAAGAAACTGGAATGGGATGACTCAGAGAGAGCTCCCAAGACTCAGTCCCTATACCTTATTAAAAAGAATGCTCTACTAGTAGGTGAGAGATCACTGTCGTCTGCGCTGTCGGCGCCATCTTGGGTAGGCGTGTGTCGGCCCAAAGCAACCAGCTGCACCTTTTGGTTAAAAAAAATTAATTTTCCTGCCTTAGAGGCATTCTTCTTGGCTTTGTGCTGTGACATCTGTGATTTGAGCCAATTCCCAACTTTCTGTCTGCTTGAAATATAATGGATTTGGAGCTCGGATACTGGAGTTGGGATTATGCATCCATTCTGTCCAGCTGTTGGTCACGCCCCCTAAATAGTGATGTTAAAAAAAAAATTGGAAGTGGAGTGTTCCTTTACATTTTGTTTAAAAAAAATTTATTTTATTTGTGCATAGTGAAAACTGCCACAATAGCTGGTGCAAGCGAATGTGAAGACAGATTATTATGACATTGGTAAGGCATTGAAAAACATTGCACATTTTTTTTAATTTTTTTAACAGGCTTAAACGATTCGATATACTGATAGCTTAGGTTAATGCTTGGTTGCATAAGTACAAGTTAACTCGCTAAAGTCGTAGTGCATCAGGTTGGACGTTCATGAGACTTTGTAAAGTAAAACATGCTAGAAGCTAGGCATATCTAGTCTAACAGTGTGGTAGTTAAAACAGCATTATGGCATGTATGTGCGGAGCCCATTTTGTTAGTAGGTTTAAGTTAGTTGGGTATTCAAACGGGACACTGGCTCTAGTTACGGTAAAAAAGTGGGTCAGGGCTAGTAAACTCATATGTAACTGAGGGTACAAGAGCACTTTACCATAACTGCAAGAGTCACAATAAAAATAATAATGCCAGCGAGAACCTAAAATAATATTAAATAGCCTTATGATTAAGTTGAGCCAGAGGTAGGTTCAGAGACTATGGCAAAGGCATTAGCCAATACCACAGTCCTGGTTCAGCAATACTCCGGCAACGCTGCTGAGTGAGAGAGCTGGAAGGGCTCCGCTGCCTCTTCCCAGTCATGTGGTGGGCGCATGTTCTCGGTGTGCTGGCCTCTCCTCTCCCCTTGTTGCTCTGTGGGTTGATAGCAGAGTTATACCTCCTATTATATGGTAGAAGCCCTACTGTGCATTTGTAGTGGCATTGCAGGGTTTTGGGTGGTTAATGCGTTGAGTGTCCAACTTGGTTTTGGTTTTGCTGGCCGTAGGACGAGCACGGACCCTCCAAGTGTGTCTCCATATCGTAAGTGGCCGTGGGTCGTGTGAGTTGGTTCTCCACTTATGTCGGGACCCCAGCTGGCGGTGTCTGATGTGTGGTCCGCGGCTGGTGTGTCGGGGCTTAGCCCTCCCTCCCCTCTCCTGCTTCATCCCAGTTAGTGTCTCTGTATTGCTTTGCGGAGCTGATGTATATGTAGGGGAGGTGATGGCTTTTCTCGGGACCGTTTTGGCTGTTGGAGTCTGTGCCATTTTGGCCCATAGTCTTGCCCAAAATTGATCAAAGGCTGATGCTATGCGGTTCTCGTGGGGATGCTCGCTTGCTAGCTGCATTTGTAGAGGCTGGGTGGTAGGAGGCTCAGGAGCATGGCCGGCGGCCGCCATCTTGGCCACTAGTTGTGGGTTGTTTGCAGTTGTAGGTGATTGGTGTGAGCTGCGGTGTGTTAGCTGGGTATAGAGGTGGCGGGAGAGCGGCCGTCCCTCCCGCACCGCCCGTGTAACTAGGCCGCACGTTGGTGCTGAGCGTTGTACCGGCGTGTGAGGTATCCTCGTGTATGTCTCGAGTTCATCTGCTCGATATCAGCGTGCCCTATTTGGGATTCTGTGCTGGCAGAAGCCACTTGGATCGTCGGTTGGCACCGGAGCTGTTGCTACCTGCGTCCGCTCAGATCGGCAGTCCGGTGTTCCTTTACATTTAATATGTTTGAGGGTATTTATTAATATTGAGTCTAGAAATCTTATACACAGTAATTGTTGACTGCTTGTGAGATTCTGGTCCTTTTTAACCCCTTAAGGACACAACTTCTGGAATAAAAGGGAATCATGATGGAATATTTCCGTCATGTGTCCTTAAGGGGTTAAAGCTGAACTGATAATGCAAAAAGTTATTTTTAAATGTTTTGTGAAGGTGTGATTTTTATGTCACAGCTCATTTGCAGCCATTAATATGTAGATAACTATCAAATGACCAATTGTGATTGAGGTTTAGACACATAAATGTATTTGCTGTAAACCCAGCATCAGAATAGTACATGTCAATTTCACTGAAAATGGATTGTGTTGTTTATATTATTTCTAATATATATTCAATAGGGCTCTTGAAATATCAAACTTCTACAAATTAACAGCAACTAATTCAAGACAATACACCATATAGGAGTTAAATTGTTAAAAGTAATTTTCCAATAATTTATAATATGCTAAGTGCTAGCACTGATCAGAAATGCCCAATCACATCTACTACCCAGCTGTGAACTGAAAAGTTTGTGGTGATGCCAAACACAATACAACTCCCTACAGTGTAAATACACAAAATTGCTCTTATGCATCACCTGCATATCTCAAGTTGGAGTTTGAAGTGTCCTTCTTGAGCACAGGATCTCAGAAATGCATGTTACCACAACTATCCTAGAGTTCTAAGCTTGACATTTAAATGAGCACAGACAGGCATTGTGTTTCAGACTTTATACTGCATTTCCACAGATACCTTTAACAATGGATGTTTTAAACACAACTTATTTTAAACCAAAACACGGGCTATTATCCAGAAAGATCAGTAACCAGAAACCAGCTATGTACTGTAGTTTGGACCTTGTGGATCTCATCAGCATGGTGCTAGTTCTGGTTTGGAAGTTGAAGCCTCTTTGAAAGCATATAACTAGGCACCAAAAAGATTGTGGTGAGGCCAAACATGTGGAGTCAAGATAAACAGTCAGGATGATTCCATAAATGTGGAATTGTTTTGAATTGGCCAGCGTATTTGAAGTTTTAGGTATATCAGAGTTTATCACAGTTGGAAAATGTATCTAACTGTGCTATTTCCTAGTTTGGCTGTTACTATTTATATTTTGGCTGTTACTGTTATATTTGCATGGTCTGTTACTGACAACCCATGGCTTAGTAGCGGAGTGTTACTCATAGCAGGGACTTTCCTATGCTGGTTACTCCAACATATGCTCAAGAACAAGTAGTACACTCTAAGGGAAGAGCCAAACACAGTAAAGTAATCCAGGAAACTCCCACCACCTCCCCAGCAACTGGATGACACTCAGCTCTTGGGGTAGCACTGATTTTAATGGAGCCACACACAGTCTTTTATGTGAATCCCCATGCAAAGGGTTTGCAAATACACATTCCAGGTGCATTCCTCACTGGACCTGAGAGTAGACTTAGACAAAGTACACAACATAATTACATTAACTCTCAGGTCCAGGACAAGTACAATATTAATCACCCCAAAACATATATTTCCCCACAAGGTACCCCGTTAAGTCCTATATTCCCAGATAGCCCTGGTCTGAGCGCCCAAGATATCCAAAAAGCACTCAGATCCCACGGACGCAGTTGAAACGCCACCGGGGTATAGTTTAGACCAACTGCACACAAGGTGCCTGCCCAAAGAGGTTCCATGAAATTAGGCTGTGCGGTTGGTCTATTTCGAGAGTATTAAATATACGAAACACCAGGCATGAACTTGTTCGTGCAGACATTATTCTGTGTATCTTGTTCGGGAGTTTGCTTCCCCCGAACTCCACTCTGTTCATCTGAATCCCCATGAACATAACGGAGGATGGAAGTCTCAGCGGTATTCGCACCCTCGAGTGTCCGATTTTAGTTCCATGCACTCGACAACCAAACACTGCTGTCTCAGTTAGCAACTAAAGATGGCCACTGCCATGTGTTCACACATACGAAGGGCGGGGTTAACGAGCGGCACACTCCACATATGGGTGGTCTGGCCATTCGGTAATTTGTTCAGTTGTCAAACAAGACATTGTTAGTAGACAAGGTGGCTGCTATTTTACAGAATGGCCAGACGAACAGGGGAAAGAACAAGATGATCCAGGAACTAGGAGCACAAAACATAGGAAATAACAAGTGGGGACAAGCTACGGACAGCTCATAGCAGGAATAAGGATGATAGTCCAAGGTTCATTCCACTACATTTCTGATCAAAGAAAAGAAATATAGTTTTCAAAGCCTTCTCACCTGATCTTTCTCAGCTATTCACTTATCACTAAAGCTATGAAGTTCTGGCTCATTACTTCTGTAATGGGATAGCAGTCATTCCTCTTCTCCCGTAGCCCTAGGTCACCAGGTACCCTCAACATTTTAGTCTCATTGGCCTCTCACTGAGGTTCCTATCTTTTTACTTGTTAATTGGTACTATAATACATACCACATCACATTGTATTGTATTTCAATCTGTTGACAGAATGGGCTGCCAGTTACGACAATTGCCTTGAAGTAAAGTGATTACATTAACTGTAATGTGCAATATATTTTGTTTTACATTTGTGCTTTTGTTTATTGTAAACTCGACAAAAACTTTATTTACAAAAAAGAAATATAGTTTTTAAAAAAACCTGCCTTCAAATGTGAAATAAAAAGTCAAATACGAATATACCTTGTACAATATCTGCAGATGTAGGTATATAAAATGTATACTTTTACGTATATTTACTTTTTATTTTTAAATTCTAGTATTACATGTAATACATTTGAGCAAAAATGTCCTATTGCTATTCGGTATAGTGTTCATCTATGCTACTGAAAGTAAAGCAGTTAAGTGAAAATGCCACGGGAGTATACTTATACTCAGCTTATAAGGGTTTATTCCGATTTTATCTTTTTTTTTTCATTAAACAAAATTTAAGCAAAATTAGCTCATTTGAAAAAAAAAACAAAACAATATTTATATATATCAACAAAAATATGGTATGTTTCCCCATATTATCTATTTAGTGGATAGGCGCTAATAACCATTGAATTTTCATGCAGATGCAACTTTTAGGTAGATGTGAGATTGTGCCATTTTACAGAGGATAATAAAAATGTTAAGTGTGTTCAAGGCATTGGAGCAATAATTCACATTGAAAAAGTGGCCTCTTACAGGGGCAGTGGTAATCAATTCCGTAATCATTTGCATGTGTCTGGAAGAAGAATGAAGCCCACTGAGTATGTATAGATGTTTTCCATAAAGATGTAACATAAAATAGATTCATCCACAACTATGAGCAACATGTAACGAAACACATGGGTAGCATTTATAGGAGACTTTCAATGTCATCACATGCATTTCCTCACTCTGAAGTACAATATAGAAATCTCTTAGGCTGCTGCCAGATCTTAATGCCCTAATATTTATTTAATTTTCATATAAGTGTTTGTGTGAACCAAATAAAGGTAACATTTAAATACATTTTTTTTTATTATGGTGAGAAAAATTTGCTTTTATTGGTAAAGCAACAATAAATTGTAGGTGATGGGCTTATATTTTCAATTTCTTTTTAAAAACTGAGCTGATTAAAGGGAGTTAATTATCTTTCCACAACTCACTCAAAAAATATAAATTGTATTGAAGCTGATGTTGACAGTTTGAAAGAACATGCAACTTATTCATGTTTGGTGAAATATATAAATCAAGTTAAGGTAAGTTATGTGTCTTTTTGTTATTTTCTATTTCAGTTTTTTTTAGACAAATAAAAAACAAAAACAAAAAAAGGTTGCCTGTCTTCAAAGTATTAGGATATGCAAGCTCTTGGAACAAAGCTGCTGAGTGATTAAGAGTTTAAAAAATGTTTGGTCATTGGTTGGAAAAACTCTAGAAAAATGCTAGTAAAAAATGTCAATCGAGAAAAATGGTTTTCCATGACTAAGCATCTATTCACAAGCATATGATCACCATGCATGATATAATGGGTTTGCTGGGAGGGTGGAAGAGGTTAACACAGTGAAGGAGTTTAAGCATGCATGAGATAGGCATAAGGCTATCCTAGCTATAAGATAAGGCCAGGGACCAATAAGAGTATTTAGATAATTGGGCAGACTAGATGGGCCAAATTGTTCTTCGCAGCTGTCACATTCTATATTTCTATGTTTCCATGTTTCTATGTATAGCACTCACCAAAATGGAGCTCTACAGTAAGCATGTCAAACTCAAAGGCTTACATGGGCCAAATAAACAAGGTTTAAGTCTCTGTGGGCCGAAAAACACAAAAACTTCAGTTTTCATAGAAAAAAGTTTATTTTGAAAAGTATAGTATAAAAAAAGTTGCCTAATGTCCTCACACTCGTATGGCTTCAAAGTAAGCAAAAGAGTGAATTTACTTTAAGGAGAAGTGCATTTGCATATAGCCAATGTTTCAGTCCAACTACCTTGACATATTAAGAAAAGTTTGGTAATGGGACTGAAATGGTGAATGTATGCTTTTGCACAGCTGTAAAACAAAAAAAAAGGATGATATCTTGTTGATTTTGAAGTCTTATGAGTGTGTCCTTCACTTTGGCTGAGATCATCAAACTTGATGATCTCAGCCAATCCAATGCTTTCCCATTGGAAAACATTGGAAAGCTATTGTGCAAGTGTGGCAAAAAGCTGCACAGCCAGTCAGCATCTCCATGGGAGCATTCAGCGCCTTCATGAAGACCCAATCTAATACACTGTCCTGAAATCCAATACACTGCCCCCCTCCCTCCACTCTTATGTACTGCCCCCTCCACCCAATCTAATACACTGCACCCTCCCTCCACTCTAATTAAACACACTGCCCATCTCACTCACCCAATT